GCCGTGTTACTAGTGAGAAAGCACTGAAGGAATATCCCATGGCGAAGTGTGGTTACACTAGTGGAACAGCTCTGCTGGCTTGCTCTCGGATAGGAAAGAGAAAAATAAAGGGGCAAATTGTCTCGGATGTAGATGGCTTTCTTGATGACTATGGCAGCTTTAATTTCCACGCATACAAGGTGATGCTTGGGACATTTGCTCCACTCGAAGTGAGTCTTTTTGACAAAGCACTCTTGGCAGTGCTTGGGAATCAGATTGTGAACTTCATTGCTGGGGACTTGGGCCATCTGGAAGCACTAGCAGTAGTCACACCATCCATGTTGTTGTGTTTTACATGGTGGAGGACATGGAGCTTGGAGTGTTACTGCCCAGAAAGGGTGACAAGGCTATTCGACTATGATCAGGATGTCCCTCGAGCTCCATCTTCAGACAAAACAGATTGGAATAAGGCCATGTGGCCTTACATTGATGAGGCAGCTTCCAACATGTGGAGCGAAGGCGCCGCCACGCTGAGGTTTTTCAGCATTGCTAAAATGTCGACCATGTCACCGTTGATGTTGGAATATTGGGGTACACTGTTGAAGAGGTTTGAAGCTTTTATTCAATCATTATCGGAAATGGTGGAATATGATTTTGCTTCCTGAGACTGTGATCGTCATTTCACTCACAATAACTTTTTCTTGAGCAACTACCACAAGCATTCTCAAGGGTTTTTGATGAGGGGATACGATGGACAATGGGTACCTGTTTGTCTTCTCGTACTTGGCTTGGTGGAAGAGGAGTATGGTGCTGCTGAAGGAGAACTCGAGCAAGAAGCAACTGACAATGCTGGAATTGGAGGTAAATGCATGCTCTCATATTTCCTCCCTTTTCTACATTAAGCTTCGGTTCTTCTTTCATCTGGGAGCTTGGTTGGATCAAATCAATGCTGAGGAAACATTTTCGTACTGTTCTCATGACAATTGCAGGAGAAGCTGATGAAGCTGCTCCTTCAAGAAAGTCATCACTGGATAAGAGAAAAAGCGTTGCTCAACCACTCAAAGTAAGGCATGCAGAACTTTTACTTTGCTAGCTAGCAAGCAAAGCAAGGCCAAAGCACCTACACCCTCCAAGACAAGAACCACCAAAGGCAGAGGGGCAGTTGATGGCAGTGATAGTGATGAGAGCTCCTGGGGTGATCTAGATCCCAAGGTGATTGAACAGATCAAAGAAATTGCGACCCATTCATGGTGGTAAGCATATGGGTGAGAAGTATTATGATTCGAGCGCTTCACTCTAGGTAAGTGCACTTCTAAATCCTTTTTTTACGGCTCTTTTAATCATTGTTGACCTCACTAAGAATTCTTTGATGTGTGGCTTAATGCCTGCATGGGTAGTCGGCAACTTCTGATGAGGGTTTTGGCCTAGTTCCTATTCTTGGCAATGACGAAATCCCCTCCAAACCTAAAGAGGCTGAGAAGGTAGAAGCTCTGGCGGTGAACATGGAGGAAGCTTTGGCTAATCCTGACATTCACCGGAAAATTTTGGCTAAGGAAATAGGTGAGCCTCCACTCCCTGACAAGATACTTAATTTTGTCGACTCTACCGTTGATTGGAGTGACCCTGCGTCCTTCACAGCTGAGTTGGCGAAGAAGGCTAAGGCTAGTGAAGTTTTGCTGTAGAAACCCTTTACTATAAGTTATCTGCAGGTCATGAAAGAGATGACAATGAACCAAAAAAGAGTAGTAGAGGGACGACACTTGACTTTGGTAGAGTAGAGGGATGACAACAAACAAATCCTTAGTAGAGAGACAAGAACGAATAAAATATGAAAGTAGAGGGACGACAATGGGCTTTAAACCTAAAAAAATAATATAATTTAAAATATAAAATAAAATTCTTACCAAACAATGATTGTGGTGGAGACGTGGTGGGCCGTAGGGTACAGCATTTGGTTTTGAAGAGGCAGGAAATGAAATGTAGTTGATGATGGAAAGTAGGACCAAGCGGTAGGACTTTTAACTTTTTTAGTATGCAATGTTATAATTAAAATGTTGTATAAAATTATAAAATTATAATAATAATAAAGTATTAAATAAATAAAATATATTATTATATAAATTAATATGTATAATATTATAA